AAGATCGCTCGTGAGCTGCCTGCAGCCGCTCCCCGAATCTGTGCCGAAGGAGGGAGAGAGAAAACAGTGTTTACAGGAACCAGATTCTAACATTCAACACCCCGAAGCCGTTCAGAGCCCACGCTGTGTGCAGGAGGCGCAGTGGTCCCCTCAGACGCGTGGGCAGACGGTCTGTGTCAGCCAGCAGACGCGACACAGCGCTGCCTTCTGCACCTCCGGGCCTTTCCTCACGCGGCTCCGGGGCTGCCGGACCAGCCTCAGGCTCCCAGGCCCCGACCCGGCTGTCCCTGGCAATCTCCTCTGGTCCCCGTCCCCAGAAGTTGAGTGGCCCCCAGGCTTTATGATGTCAGCATTATCAGGAGACAAAAATTATAAGTGCTACTTTGAGTGAAATGGTGATTTGGTTTTACAGGCAGAAATCATTCATTTCAGCAAAGCGGAGCGTTTTCCTGGGAGGACCAGCGGCCGGCGGCGACAGCGGGCAGGCATCGTCCTGCGGACAGAGCTCGTGGGCTGCCGCCCGATCAGGTGCGGTGGTGTGGGAGGAGGCCGGGCCGTGGGTAGTGGGAGGAGGCCGGGCGTGGTGGTGAGGAGGCCGCCGTGGGTGGGAGAGCCGGCCGTGGGTGTGGGAGAGGCCGGGCCGTGGGTGTGGAGGAGGCCGGCCTGGTGGTGGGAAGAGGCCGGGCCTGGGTGGGAAGGCGGGCCCTGGTGGTGGAGGAGGCCGGGCCCTGGGTGGTGGGAGGAGGCCGGGCCTGGGTGGGTGGGAGAGGCCAGGCCGTGGGTGGTGGAGAGCGGGCGTAGGTGATGAGGAGGCCGGGCCTGGGTGGTGGGAGGAGGCCGGGCCGTGGTGTGGGAGGAGGCCGGGCCCTGTGTGGGAGGAGGCCGGGCCGTGGTGGTGGGAGGAGGCCGGCCTGGGTGTGGAGGAGGCCGGCCGGTGTAATGGAGGAGGCGGCCCTGGTGGTGGAGGAGGCCGGGCCGTGGGTGTGGGAGGAGCCGGCCTGGGTGGTGGTAGGAGCAATGCCCCGTCGGGTGGTGATGAGGTTCTCTTTACAGAAAGGCAAAGACAGCACACGCACCACCCATCGGGACACGGATTTCAGAGAGCCGTCCGACAGGCACCTCAAATCCTGTGATCTCGGCTGTAGTTTTTCATGTTTCAACGTCTCTGAAATCCAGACACGTCTTTCCGCAAATGACAGGACGGTCTAACTGGCAGCATTATTCCTTCCTGCAGGGCACGGGAATGGACGGAGCGTCACGCGGTGACGGAGCTTTGGGGGAATGCAGGGCAGTGAGCACGCGGATGGGAGGGAGGCCCCAGTGGCGCAGTCGCCGTGGTGGCCACACAGAGGCCCCGCCTGCCGCCCTCGGCTCTCCCACGGGGAGCTGCTGACAAGGGCAGGTCCCAGCTCCAGCGGGACACTGGGAGTGAGTAAGTGTCAAATAAGTAAATCAAGGCACAGCAAAGAATTCTGAAACAGAACAGGCAGAAATAAAACAAGAAGAAGTGGATGTGCAAGAATTCATTACAAATCTTGGAGATAAAAATGTGCAGTCTCTGCACGGACGCTGCCCCTCTGCCCCACAGCCACGGTGAGGCTCAAAAACGTAGCCCAGTCCCGGCCCGGTTGTTTTACTTTTTTTTTTGAGTTGGTTTCGTTTTCCCCCGCCTTTGTTGGTTGTTGCTTGGGCTTTTCCCCCCTTTTTCTTGTTCGGGTTGCGGTTCGGTTTCGGGGTTTTGTTGGGGGGACACACAGAGGAGCCCCCCAAACATGTCCTCCAAGGTAACACTGAGGCAAGCACCTGCCGTAGTCCTTCCTGCTGCACAGCAGAGGGGGCTGAGTGGTGCACACACGCTAAGCACCTGTTATGAGCTGTGCATATGTGATGCACTGTGTATATGTGATGGGATTTGTACATGTGATGAGCTGTGCATATGTGATAAGCTGTGCACATGTGATAGGATTTGCATATGTAATAAGCTGTGCACATGTGATATGATTTGCATATGTAATAAGGTGTGCACATGTGATGGGATTTGCACATGTGATGAGCTGTGCATATGTGATAGGATTTGCATATGTAATAAGCTGTGCACATGTGATGGGATTTGCACATGTGATGAGCTGTGCATATGTGATGGGATTTGCATATGTAATAAGCTGTGCACATGTGATGGGATTTGCACATGTGATGAGCTGTGCACATGTGATAGGATTTGCATATGTAATAAGCTGTGCACATGTGATGGGATTTGCACATGTGATGAGCTGTGCATATGTGATAGGATTTGCATATGTAATAAGCTGTGCACATGTGATGGGATTTGCGTATGTGATGAGCTGTGCATATGTAATGACATTTGCATATGTAATAAGCTGTGCACATGTGATGGAGTTTGCATGCGATGAGCTGTACATACATGTAAGGGAAACGTGGTGCGAATGTGGATGAGCTCACCCCCTCCCCACACACGTCCTCTTTCCTGGAGGCCCCGGCCAGAGCCTCAGGGAACCGTCTATTTGCATAAAGACTTATTCTGGCGATACCATCGGATGCTGGAGGAAGCCTCCACGGTAACACATGAGGCGCTTTGCAGGCGGCTTGCAGTGCGTTCCGAGCTGCTCCTTGCTGTCTGACCCAGGCACGCTTCCTCTCCCTGGGCTGCGGGGACGTTGGCAACTTCGTGTCACCCCAGCATAGAGTGCTGGGAAGGCCAGAGAGGCGGCGCCTGCTGGTTCTGACCCGAATCCCCGCCCCCCCCGTAGAGGCCACGCCCCTCCCAGGCAGACCCAGAGGGCCCCAGAGATCCCGCAACGCGGTCCAGAACCTGTCAAAATTGGTTCCTTTTCATGCTCAAAAACGAGAGCATAAAAGGCTTTTTAATATTAATGAAACTGTTTCTATAAAACCCACAGTGTACAAGTATCATGACTGAAAATTGACTTCAACTTACAGCTGAAAGCTTCATTGCATTTTCATGGGGCTGTGGACTGGGCGCCCCGGCTGAATCGCCTGGAGTGGGGAGAACGTCCAGCCTCCTCCCACCACCCAGGGCCCAGCCTCCTCCCACCACCCAGGGTCCGGCCCCCTCCCACCACCCACGGCCCGGCCCCCTCCCACCACCCACGGCCCGGCCCCCTCCCACCACCCACGGCCCGGCCCCCTCCCACCACCCACGGCCCGGCCCCCTCCCACCACAGCCCGGCTCCTCCACCACCAGGGCCGGCCCCTCCACCACCCAGGGCCCGGCCTCCTCCCACCACCCACGGCCCGGCCTCCTCCCACCACCCACGGCCCGGCCTCCTCCCACCACCCACGGCCCGGCCTCCTCCCACCACCCACGGCCCGGCCTCCTCCCACTACCCACGGCCCGGCCTCCTCCCACCACCCACCGCACTGTCGGGCGGCAGCCCACGAGCTCTGTCCGCAGGACGATGCCTGCCCGCTGTCCGCCCAGCCGGCCGCTGGTCCTCCCCAGGAAAAACGCATCCGTTTGCTGAAATGAATGATTTCTGCCTGTAAAACCCAAATCACCATTTCACTCAAAGTAGCACTTATCATTTTTGTCTCCCTGATAATGCTGACATCCATAACAGCCTGGGGGCCACTCAACTTCTTGGCGGAGGGGACCAGAGGAGATGCCAGGGACAGCCGGGGTCGGGGCCTGGGAGCCTGAGGGCTGGGTCCCGGCAGCCCCGGAGCCGCGTGAGGAAAGGCACCGGGAGGTGCCAGAAGGCAGCGCTGTGTCCGCGTCTGCTGCTGACACAGACCGTCTGCCACGCGTCTGAGGGACCACTGCCTCCTGCACACAGCGTGGGCTCTGAACGGCTTCGGGTGTTGAATGTTAGAATCTGGTTCCTGTAAACACTGTTTTCTCTCTCCCTCCTTCGGCACAGATTCGGGGAGCCGGCTGCAGGCCAGGCTCACGAGCGCTGGGACCAGCTGGCGAGGACCATCCCTGCCCTCCACAGCTCGTGGAGGAGGAGAAGTCGTCACGAGACGCCACGGGAGCCACGGAAGTCGGCCACGGAAGTCGGCCACCGACGCAGAGCCATGCGAGCTCGTGAACAGGTCTGGGGGCTCTTAGAAGGAGGAGACATTGCTCGTGGGTTTGAATGCCAGAAGCTGGCCAGGCTTCCTCCAGAAGGCAGAGGGGAGAGAAGCAAGTGTTCTGTCCCAGGAACGGCTGGATGAGGCAAGATGGGGCAGCGGGTGGGGGAGGCAGGAGACAGTGCGGCCAGAAAGCGGCTCAGACTGAGAGGACCTGGCCACCAGGCCCGCGGGGTGGGAGCCATCGGAGAGGAAGCCGGCACAGTGCTCCTGCCCAGGGAAGGGCTGGGGGGCCAGGAGATGCAGGGGCCAGGGCAGTAGGGTGGCAGAGCAGGGAGGGGCAGGCTGGGAGGGGCAGGAAGGGTCTGGGAGGGTCAGTCAGGGAGGGGCAGTCGGGAGAGGAAGGGAGGGATAGGAGGGGCAGTTAGGGAGGGTCTGGGGGGCAGTCAGGGAGGGTCTTAGGGGCAGTTAAGGAGAGGCAGGGAGGAGCAAGTAGAGTCAGGGAGGAGCAGGCAGGGCTGGGCAGGGAGGGGCAGGCAGGAACCGTCAGGGAAGGGCTGGGAGGGGCTGAGAGGGAGGGACAGGAAGGGGCTGACAGGGAGGGGCTGTCAGGGAGGGGCAGTCAGGGCTGGGCAGGGCGAGGCCCAGCGGCTCACCAGGGCCGGGCTGCCTAGGTGCCTGTGGGAGGGTCCTATCCTCTCTGGACGCCCCAAACCCTGCTCTCCCCAAAGCCCAAGGCCTCTGACACCTCCGCGGTCCCAACCTACAACAGAACATCCACCCGCAAACTCACACTCGCAAAATACCAGGAAGGAGCCTGGTGCAGGTGTTTTATTAATATTTTGTGGTTTCAGGGCAATTATTTAGAACACCATCCAGTGAATGTCGCTGTGTGGTTATGGCAGAGGACAGAGGCCATTTCTGAAGAGGTACAAGCGGACGCCTGGGTCCAGCCGCAGACCGGGCGGAGAGGGGGCGTCAGCCGCGGGGACCGAGCACCGGGAGCCTCGGGTGCCCCCCCAGGAGCCAGCACGGCCCCGACACGGGGCCATGTCTGAAGGTAAAGCCGCCCCCGGGGGACATTTGGCCACGTGTGGAGGACACGTGTGGTCATCACACAGGGGAGGGGTTTGCCCCTGGCTCTAGAGGGTAGGGGTGGGCGCAGCGGCTGCCGCTCAGGGGCCGGCCCGGTGCAAAGGACTGAGGTGGGGACGGGGCTCTAAGCAGGAACCCGAAAGAACCGCCCCTTCCTCCCCCCTCGGAACCACGGCTCATTTCCGTCACTCCTGACCGCGACCTCTGGGCTTAGCCATGAAGCATGCTGTCAGGCGTGTACGCACACAGAGCTCCCGTGCACACGGAGGCACACGCGTGAGCTCACAGACTCCCACCTTGGCGTGACCGTCGCTCACTCTCGCACCCTCCCAGGGCCCGTCCCGGCTCTGGGCCGCCCATTCCCTTCACCCGATTCACCACAGACTGCTCCACGGCGCTGTTTCACCCACACGCGTGATCCCAGCTCCCCGGGGCGCTGCTTCCGGAAGATCTCAGGGCCACACACAGAGGCCCAGGAGGACAGTCGAGCCCAATCCCTGCGCCTAAGATGCTACTGGGGAAATGGGAACAACTCACTCCGCCCCCGCCCCTCAGCGTGCGCACTCAGAGTTGCCGTGAGCTCGACCCCTGGCCCAGGACCGCTCTGCTCCTCTGGGAGGGTCCCCTGCCGGGGGGACACGATGGCGTCTCTCTCGGCCACCGTAAAAGCAGCGTCCCAGCACGCAGGACTTCCAGCTTCACTTCCTTTTGGAATGAGAAATTTTTTTTTTTTTAAAGCCTGTGGGAAGCTTGAAATAAATTCCAGGAAAGCCTCCAAAACTGACAGTATATGTGTCTGGTGCTTCTAGAAGAATCTGACTGATATAGGGCACACAGCACTCAGGGGGTGGAGCGTAATTAAATTAGCCCTGTCTGAGGGATAAGCCTGTGCAGACGAAATGTCAATATTTTAATAACTTCCCCCGAAAAAATATTGCCGCATAATTCTCCTTCTGCTGGCTGCCAGCCGCCCGCCTGCCCGGCACGGCCGCCGAGTTACGGCCATCGATCCCCCGCCCCACCCCCTCGGGTCGGAGGAGAAATAAAGTTGAACCGGGGTCTCTCGCCCAAAGGTGCTTCAAACGCCACTCCGAGCTCTGGCTTTATATTTCTATCTCAGGGACGGGAAAATCAGAACAGTTTTGCCGGCTCCGTTTGCTCTGAAATAGCCGTGTGGGAGAGGCGGCTGCGCCCCACTCGACACCCTCCCGGGACTGCGGGAGGCAGCGGAGAACCTGCGCTGGGCTCCGTCGCCGCGGGAACAGACAGGTGGGGAGCACACCCCCCCTCCCCGCACCCCCTGTCAACCTGGGGAGACAGAACACGGCTCCTGAAGGCCACCCTTGTCCCCTCGAGCCCCGGGACCCGTGCCAGCCCCCAGTCTAGCGGCCGGGTCAACCCAGGGCCGTGCTGGTGCGGCGCTGGCCCCTGTCCTCAGCCGTCGGGGGGCAGCGGAGCAGCCCTGGTGCCCGCCCGGCCCTTGGCCTCGCTGTCCAGACCGGGTGCCTGCGATCCTCCCCGGGCAGGACAGAGCAGGAGGAGCCAGGGCCCCCTGCCACCCACAGCCACCCAGGGGGACACTGGGGAGGAGTCTGCGGCCCCTTCCCTCCGTGGGACCCCTGAGGATGCTCTGGACACCCTGAGCCCCCCACACATATGCACCTGCCCCCCCAGGAGCCTCCGCCTTCCCCTCTCGCCCGGCCAGGGGTCCCTGGGACCACCCCACACACACGGATCCTCCTCTGGGCTCTGCTTGTGGGGAGCAGCCCAGACGTCACAGGGTGGCGACAGGCTCCGTGAAACGACCAACAGCGGCTCAGGGACAGCAGAGCCCACGGCCCAGCCTCCTCCCATGTAAGCACCCGAGGGGCCAACAGGGAAACTGAGGCGCAGCATACCCCCCCTCAGCTCAGATTCCGGAACCAAACAGTAGCATCCCTCGGTGCCCGGGCATAAGGGAGGGGACTTAGCCGCCTTTGCCTTCTGGGGCCCTGCCGGCCCGAGAACTGTCCTACCTAAAGACGACACAGAAAAAGTATAGGGGTGTGAGCAGCACCTCCGTGTCACGCCTCGGGACCAGGACATAGCCCACAATAGCCCAGTGACACGGGAGAGCCTCGGGACCAGGACACAGCCCAAGAAAGCCCAGTGACATGGGAGAACCCGGGACTAGGACACAGCCCGAGAAAGCCCAGTGACACAGAGTGCCCTGGGAACGCGGAGGCTGCGTCCCAGCTCCGGCGGGAGGGCAGCTGTCTGTTCTGGGTGAGGGCGGCCAAGGACAAGGGCTCCAGGGCACGGTGGGGTGGAGAGAGCAGGAGGCAGAGAGGAAGTGAGGCGGGAGGACACCCAGACGGGCAGGGGTGGGGGGACGGCTGCACTTGGGTCTGGGTGTCCCTCGGCCCCTCGGCCCCTCGGCCCCTCTGCAGTGCAAGGCCGGGACCCTGCCTCTCCCGCCTCTTTCTCACCGGCCCGCTGGGCTGCTGCGCAGCGAAGACTTGGGGACCCGCCTCGCCTGTGCCGGCAGGAGGAGGTGACATCCCAGGAGCCCCACTGCGGCCTCCTGCCTCCCGCATGGCGTGGCCCGACCTCCCAGCACACACGTGTCGGGCTCGGGCCCAGAGCACCTGGCCCCCTGCTCGGCTCTCTCCAGCCAGGGTCGGCGGCGATTTAAAGTGGGCGTCACCAGTGGCAGCTTCTTTAACACAGTAACTGCCCTGCGAGTTGTGTTTAACTCGCACTCGTTAGTTGAGCCCGGGGCCTCGTGAAGCGTATGTAACTCATGTCTCCTCTCCCTGGGAGCCGTGTGAACTACTTTCCAAGTTGCATATAACTCACGCACGGAAAACAATAAAAAATAACAAATTATTCATTAAATCAGAAAGGATCGTTTCATCTTAGAAGTTATTATTCTACCTTCGTGATAAAGCAACGTGGCCTCGAAGAAACTTTCTTTCTAGTGCGGCAGCCAGTGTGTTAGGGTGGGGAACGGGGAGAGGGCTTCTGCAGAGGCGATTTCTTGAGATCTCGGTTCTCCAGTTTTCTTGAGAACAGTCAAATCCAGTGCTCTAGAATTATCATTTCCGCGCCGTCCCTCAGCTGTTCCGGCTGCTCCGTGACTGCAGAGCAATGAGACTTCACGGCGGGTTTGCGGGAGGCGAGGACTGGCCAGGCCCACGCCGGCTCTGCCGGAAGGCGGGCGCTGCTGCTCATATTTCCCTACAGTTTACTTATTGATTTGTCGCAAAAGCAGTCACAACCATCGCAGATTCCTGACATCGTGCACCATGCCTGAGCGACGACGCCCTGAGCGCAGAGGCGTGGCTGTCTCCCGACTCCCCGCTCGCGCCCAGCCCCGGGAGGCTGCAGGTGCAGGTGCGTCTCCGCCCGATCCCCACGCGTTCCACCACGGCTCAGCGCGCGGGGCCACCCGCACCCCTCAGCCCTGACGGCCTCGGCTTCTCTGGGAGAACGAGACGCCAGGAGACTTGCCAGGCCTGCGTCTCCTCGGGCGCCGGAAAGTCACTCCCCGTGAGGGGTCACGGGAAATAACCTAAGGCCCCCCAGGGCAACGAGAGCAGGCACAGGCGGTGTGTTCAGGGCCTGGGAGCGAGGGCTGGGCTGGCAGGGGCAGGGAGCGTCACAGTGGGGGGCAGGGAAGGGCGCAGGTGCGGCTGGACGCAGGCCGCTGCCCAGGGCCAGGGGCTGGAGGGGAAATCGAGGCAGGGCCTCTGTCTGATGGGTTAAGAGGACACATTTGGCTGTCACTGCTTGGTCCCAAGAGAGCAGCTGGGATAGAGACTAAGGAAGCTGGGAGTTCAGAGCAGGGTCTGACCAGTGCAGAAGCCTCGTCCAGCTTCCTGTCTACTGCTGAAGGCCCCGGTCTGGCTGCCAGCAAGGCTGCCTCGGACGGCGGCTGGCTCCTGACACGGTTGCTATGGTAATGGGCAGCCCTGGGCTGGTTAGTGTGGACATGGGCTGGCTCCCTGGGCTGGCTAGTGTGGACATGGGCTAGTTAGTATAGATATGGGCTGGTTAGTGAAGACATGGGCTGGCTCCCTGGGCTGGTTAATGTGGACATGGGCTGGTTAGTGTAGACATGGGCTGCCTCCCTGGGCTGGCTAGTGTAGACATGGGCTAATTAGTGTAGATATGGGCTGGTTAGTGAAGACATGGGCTGGCTCCCTGGGCTGGTTAATGTGGACATGGGCTGGTTAGTATAGATATGGGCTGGTTAGTGTGGACATGGGCTGGTTAGTGTAAATATGGGCTAGTTAGCATGGACATGGACTGGTTAGTGTAGATATGGGCTGGTTAGTGTGGACATGGGCTGGTTAGTGTAAATATGGGCTAGTTAGCGTGGACATGGGCTGGTTAGTGTAGACATGGGCTGGTTAGCGTGGACGTGGGCTGGTTAGTGTGGACACGGACTGGTTAGCATAGACAGGGGCTGGCTCCAGGGACGGCTGCTCCCAGCCGTGGTCGGACCCCTGGTCTACACACGGCCCAGCTATCTTCCCTTCGTGTTCCCATTCTCGCTGGGCTGCAGGAGAGTCCCCCGCCTGGCACGCTGCCTGCCCGTCGGCGTGCTGAGCTAGGAATGAAGCCCAGGGAGCAGGTCTCGGTGGAAGCAGGAAACAGCCCCAACATCTGCTTTCCCGATGTCCCTCCAGAGTCCGGAGCGGCGTGGGGAGGGCCTTTGATGAACAAGCCAGTGAAAGAGTGAAGGAACCCGAGCACTGTCCCCGTGTCCCCAGGAGCAGGCGCAGAGGTGACTGTGCCCACCTACGCTAACACGGGGCGGCGACCCTGACGCAGACCCTCCGGGAGCGCGGGTGGAGAGAGCCCTGATCTGCTGAGCAAACTTGGAAACGCCTGGGGCCGTGGCTGCCTGGCAGCACGAGGCCACGGTCCCCGCACGTTCACGTCTGGCTGGCGGCACTCTGTCCTGAGGCCACTCTCATCCCCAAGGCACGGGGTCCTCGGGCTCCGACACCGGGGAGGGAAACGCTCTCTGGGGCCAGGGCCAGGCATGCGGCCGGGTCCGTAGGGGAGCGGGTGGCGGCAGCTTCGCTGCTTGCTCCTGGAGACCGAAGCGTTTGCTCTGGGTGGCGAGACAGTATCATCACTTGTCCTTCTCTCGTGCTTGTCAAACCAGCACTTTCTGCGCCTTCCGTCCATCCGTAGTAACAGGGCGGAGGTGCCGCTGTCTCCGGACTGGAAACAATTGCTGCTTTTCTCCTGTGCGGAATTGGGGCTTAATCGGATTGGCCAGTGAGCGCATTAGCTCTCCCTCGTGTGGAGAAAATGCATATTGATCAAGTTTTTGCAGGATCCTCCTCAAATAGGAAACTCCGTGGTCCTTGCTCAGAGCTCGTCCTGCCTGACTCTTCGAGGGAAAGAGCACACTGGCATCCCACTTCTTCCTGCCACCTCCAGGCTCTCCTGGGTCCCCTCCACCTGTTCCCGTGTCCTTCTCCTAAGCCCTAAATAGGGAAAAGTCCTTTGCATCACCAAGACCCGCCTGACCCTGGGCAGGAAGCGGGGAGGACAGTGGGCCTCCTCTGTGGGCCTCCACGTTTGAGGATATTGAACAACCACCCTCCCTCTGTCACCTGCCACATTCACGGCCACAGCACGGCCACCACGGTACCTCCTCTGTCACCTGCCACATTCACGGCCACCACGGTGCCTCCTCTGTCACCTGCCGCATTCACGGCCATAGCACGGCCACCACGGTGCCTCCTCTGTCACCTGCCACATTCACGGCCACCACAGTGCCTCTCTCTGTCACCTGCCACATTCACGGCCACCACGGTGCCTCCTCTGTCACCTGCCGCATTCACAGCCACCACAGTGCCTCCTCTGTCACCTGCCGCATTCACGGCCACCACGGTGCCTCTCTCTGTCACCTTCCACATTCACGGCCACAGCACGGCCACCACAGTGCCTCCTCTGTCACCTGCCACATTCACGGCCACCATGGTGCCTCCTCTGTCACCTGCCACATTCACGGCCACCACAGTGCCTCCTCTGTCACCTGCCACATTCACGGCCACAGCATGGCCACCATGGTGCCTCCTCTGTCGCCACATTCACGGCCACCACAGTGCCTCCTCTGTCACCTGCCACATTCACGGCCACCACAGTGCCTCCTCTGTCACCTGCCACATTCACGGCCACAGCACGGCCACCATGGTGCCTCCTCTGTCACCTGCCACATTCACAGCCACAGCACGGCCACCACAGTGCCTCCTCTGTCACTTGCCGCATTCACGGCCACCACGTTCATGCTTGGGTGGATGTGGCCGCCCAGTGCCCCGGCCGACTGGCGACAGGCCGTCTTCTGCCCTTCACATCTCGAACTGCTGTCTTCATTTCCCCAAGCTCAGCAAATTTAGTCCCTTCCCTTTCCCCTAAGTTCTTACTTTTTATGACAAATTCTGAGCAAGAGGAATCACGTGGACTGCAGCTCCACTGAAGCCTAAACAAACGGCCCCCAAACATGTTAACGGGAAGCAGCCCGGGTCTGTGCTGTGCGTCAGACCCGCTCGGCCAGCGAGAGGGGCTGGGGTTCTGTGCTTTTTCTGAAGGTCATTCAGAAAATCTTTACAGAGCTCTCACTGCACACATGGCCCTATGCGGGGAAAATGGGTGCGTGTGTGCTTGGCGAGGAAAGGTCAGCCTGCAAACACATCACGGCGAGGGACAGTCACAGTGGAGCTAGTTCTCTGCGTGTTTGAACCTGCCGCAGAAGAGAAGCGGGGAGATCTTGAAGTAGACTAAAGACGGCTCCTGTAAATGTAAAATGGAGTCGGTCTTGCTCTAACTATTAGTAAAAGTTCCCAGAGGAAGTTCCCTGGGAAGAGAGGGAGGAGGGAGTTGAGGAGGCCTGTTCCCAAAAAGAATAGAGAGGTCCTGTTCCAGGAGAGTCCCTCGTCCCTTAGTGGACCTTTCCACTGTTCGCTTGATTAACGACTAACCGCAAAGTTCTGCTTCTGTGATTGCTTGCTTGCATGGCTGCCAGCCCCAAAGGTATAAGAAAACCGCAAAGGCTTTGTTCGGGGCTGCTTGTCCCTCCTTGCGTGGAGTGGTGACAGCCCCTGCGCAGGTAATAAACTAACTTGGCTGCTTGGATTCTGGTGTCCGAGTCCCCCTGATTCGCTGGTTTACAATAATCTGTTCTGTGCGAAGGACGCCGGGGGTTCTGAGTCGACCTGCTCGGCAGCTGCAAACTCTGGTCGCACACAAACGAGCGTCTGGAACCTTCGCTCCCAGCCCCAGAAGGCTGAGGCGGCAGCCACCAGCAAACGGCGTGGTCCTGGCAAACAGGCTCCCTCGTGTCCTGTGTCAGGCATCCCAGCTCTGACCAGTTCAGTAGGAAAAAAAACAGTCATGCCGGTCTTTGATTGATGTGACATCCGTCCACAGCATTGTATGTATCAGAGTCTACAGACTTGATTCTCTTGTTTTCTACAAACTTCCCACTCAAAAAAAAACCAAGTTTGTGGTTAAAGTATACTGCCACCCGCTGGTGGTAAAGGAGTCACAAGTCACGTTCCAAAGAGGAAAGTTCACACCAGCCACTGCGTTTTATTGAAGGTTTTTCTGGTTACTTGCAGGAAAATAGCAAAATGCATGAACTTACTCATGGTTCCTTCTACATGTGACCAGCAAGATCTGAACGCAAGCCTCAAGACGACATTTCTTAACTTCATCTAGGCCATGGATGCTTTTGGAAACAGGATAGAATTTGGGAGGTTCCCCTCGGGAAAATAAATTCACGTGTGCAGGTGCCCCTGGGCACCGCTGGGGCTCAGCCCTGGCCTGGCCTGGCCTGCAGGAGGCGTG